CACCTAGGGAACATTGGATAGAACTGTCGGGCAAGGGTCTAATATTTTTTGACCTAGTATCACCAAAAATAGTTTCATTGAAATCAGTGACCCCACGTCCGTAACACCTCCCCTTATAAGTTCAGAATCAGATTACAATGATGTTGAAGACAGACAATTACTTCATTGCTCCATGGAAAAGGCTCAAAAAGTAGTTACTTAAGTAATTGAAAAACATATGGAGAATTCATCCCCAAAGAAGAATTTTTTGATTAGAAATATAAAAATTATTGTCCAGCAACCCGTGACCAGTTCTATGAATAGCATGGATTCATTAACAAGTTTGAAGATTGCTATGCATCCAGATCAGGAGTTAAAACTTTTCTTAAAATTTCCATTTTAACGTTTTAGGAAAATAATTGTTTTTTTATTTTAATGAAATTTACAACTGTATTACTTACAAAATACAATAAGTAAATGTGACATGAGTAACATGAAGAGAAACTACCCATTGGTAGAACTCAAAAAATAATTGTTTAAATAAAAGTTCTAAGGTTTCTTAAGATTTGACTCATACTGAAACTGATTAAAATAAAAGATAAAGTTTCATTTTAAGCCCTGCTCCAGATCTCTTCAGGAACTGAAGAAAAACTAGCTATATTTTTAAGGTGAGGAATTTATTAATTTCTTATGAATCATCTTGAATATCTGGAAAGTAATAAAGTTTTTTCTTGTGCAAGAATAAAAGTTTGGAAAGGATGAATCAAGTTCAATTATTTTCACCATTTTAATACTATTAAAAAATAAAGTTTGTTAAATATTATAATGAAAAATTGGTGATTAAAAAGCACTACAACAAAATTAATAGAAAAAAGTTTAAGTAAGTAAATTAAAATTAAATAATTTTATTTTTAAATAATCACCCACCATGTTAAAGGTTGTACAACATGATTCACCCTTTAACTGATTCAATTTATTTTTCCTCCAACATAACTTCACCTGGAAGACTCACAAGGGGAGGCTACGTTTGGTGAGTCACCGATTTCAACCCAATTTTTTTTTGTGATACAACATTCAAAAATATTGGAGATATGTCCCGGTATTCATTCCAATGGCCCTAGCAGGCGAAAAAAAAAATTGTTTTATAATTTCAAATAAAATTTATGTTATTTATTTTTGCCTTTTCTTTGCCCAAACTTTTAGTCTATTATATATCATTAATTAATCGTTAATGCCACTTTAAGGGAGAGATTGAAAATAAAGCAAAATATCCTAGAGGTAATGGAAGAAAGGAGACTCAAGTGGTATGGCCATGTGAGATGAATGGACGATAGGACACTAGGATTCCAAGATAATTATGAATTGGAAAGCAGAGGACCCGTAGTTAGATGGAAGGATAGAGTGGTGAAGAGTGCTGGTAGGGAGCTGTTGGAGGACGCTACGATGGACCCGCAAAGAGACTTGCTAAAAAAGGAGTTTGGTTGAGGAAAACTTCATATTGAAAAAACTCCTAAATAAAAAATATATATCATTTGATATTTTTTTTGTGTATAGAATAACAAAATAATATTGACTATTGTATTAAATGAGTTATAATGTATCTTAAATTACAAAAACCAAAAGGCACTTCCAGTAAAGTAGGTCAAGTAAATTTTTGTTTTGAAAAAACAAATTAGATTTGTTTTAAATGCCTCTTAAATACGAATTTTTATAGAAATCAAAATTGCAAAATTTAATACTTGATATTCTTAGAGAATATTTCTCCGGGCGATAACTAAAACATTTATTACTTCTGATGATTTTTTCCAAATTCGATGTTACTGCAATTGTTATTGAGCCGAATTACTGGTCTTCCAACCCACATCAATAACTTTTTGGTTTAATTCCTTTTTTAACTAGAAATTAAGAAAAACTAATTAATCTTTTTATTTTATAACTTTGGTTCTAATTTTTTAGAGAGGTTAGTTTTATATAATTTTTAACTTTCACTTACCTATAAATGTAATATATAGTAAGGGTAAGTATTGCGATCGTGAAAATTTTTGAACCTGAGTTTCAAACGAAAATACATGTTTTGAGGTCTCCTGAGTCCAAATAACTAAGTCCCACAAAATGGTGTGTGTGTGTTTTTGTATGGGAACAGCCTAGCTCAAAAACAAAAAGTCGTACGAAACTGAAATTGTGTATTTAAGGTTTTTATATGCATGGTATGTTACAGCAAATGTTTGTCAAAATCGGCTAACCGGAAATGGTACTTTATATTGTCGATTTACTACGTTTTTATGATTTTCTCGATAACGGCTCTAACAATTTTGGTTAAATTCATTATATCTGTGTAAAATTAAGCAGTTTTTAATATAAACCTAGGTTTTATTCTCATTGGTATTCTCTAGCATGGTTTAAATGGCTAATTTTCAACATTAGCTTTCCCTAAAGTACCTTCAATTTTTTTTTATTTGAAACAATGAACCATTTCACATTGATCTCTGATATAAAAAATAGTTAAATATAAAATATGAAAGAATTTGGTAATTAACTAAAGGAGAAATAAGCGATCATAATGGAGAATAGTTGTAATGGAGGAACCAAAGCAATACAAGCATGCCCGAGCTCACCCGAAAGATTAGAACAAGCTTCCATATAATACAGAGTCCAACAATATTATGTACATATTGTAATGTAAATATTATTTAGTGAATTCAATGGGCCAATAGAATTTTAAATAGTGGTGCGAAAGCAGTGATGTCACGAACTACTCTCAAAAATGGACAAAGAGACAAAGAAAGACAGATGGAAGGAGAAGTAAGTGCCATATGTTAAAGACAGAAGGTAACCAGCCGGTGAGGAAAAAGGATCGAGACTAGCAGAGAGTGACAGGTCGGCAAGTAGTGAGTGTCATGAGAAGTACAGGAAAATAGAAGACATTTGTAGAAGTTTAATACAGCAATACCTTCAGCAACAATACTGAATGGAAATCCATAAATCTTATATACGAGTAATTTATGCTTTTATATTATATAATAGAGGAATGTGTGTTTATTTTCCCAACCCAACTTGAGAAATAATTTGCAGTCTTTAAAATAATCATTGTGTGAAATAAAAATAATTTAGTTCAGAAACTGTTTGTTTATTTTTCAACAGAAACGTAACCTAACTATATACATATGCGGTTTTCATAAATGCAATCGTTAGTATTATTTAATATTTAATTGTATATATTACAGCTATATAAATATTAAAATTTGTATATATAAGGGCACTTAAACAAATAAAAATACCCACAATGAAATATAAATAAATATACCGTCTATAATTTTTACTTTCACTTTCCCTTTGTCTGAAAATACTTTTCTGCTAATCTGAGGGTGGTAAGTGAAAGTTGTGTGATGTGCGTATTGCACCAAATTTTTGTAGCATTAAATTTCATAGCACTAAATCTCTAATAATTTTTGTGTGGATGAGTGGATGGAGACGTTCTAAAGTTGTCACAATTTTTTTGATTGTCGACAAAACTTGGAAGGGCAAAAATTTCGTGTACAAAATTTTAATTTTACAGTTACTATAAAAATTTATATTTATAGGTTTATTGAGGTGCGAAGAATGAATATCAACTTTCTTTCTCCTTAAAAAAAATATTTACTCTAGATGCCAGACTGGTTTTGAATAAATATAACATTTGGCAGAAAGCTACAATTTGGACTAACGGACGTAGCAATGCAGGAGTAAATATTTTTTTAGAGATAAACAAAGTATATATTAGTTTTTCGCAACTCAAAAGCTCTTAAATATAAATTTTTATAACAATAGCAAAATTAAAATTTTCTCCACTAAATTTATGCCCAGGCTGGACCCTTGGAAATTTTGTCAGCAACCACAAAAATTGTGATAACTTTAGAAACGACTCCACCGATCTTCTCAAAAATTATTTGGAGTTAAAGGCTCTATATGCTACATGAAATGTTACAAAACCAACCTCTTTAAATGGATGAACCAAAGAGAGAGAGAGAAAGAGAAACACTTTATTTTCATAAAATATAAAGGATTGCTGACCAATTATATTGGGTTGCTATATACACAGCATACTCTTCTATCCTTAGGACAATATATGAACTTATATATAAATATACAGAAGTATTAGTTAATAGTGGTAAAATAGATATATATATATATATATATACATACATACATTTGTTTTTTTTTTTTTTTTTCCTTTTTCCTTCCTTTCATTGTTCATGCTTTTTTATTTTTATTTTTTTAAATACAAATAATTGAGAAGTTTTTCTTAATTTCTAGTTTAAAAAGGAATGAAATCTAAAAATTATTCAGCATGAAGAGCAGTAATTTAATTTTCCAAAGGTTGTACTAATGTTCAATTTGGAGAAATTCCTGAGAAGTTACAAATGTTTTAGTTATCGGCAGGAAGAAAAATCCTCTTAAACAATCAAGTTTTTAATTTTTTAAATCTATAAAAATTCATATTTAAGAGTATCTAAAGAACACAAACAACGAATCTAACTTGCTTTTTTATAAAAAAAATTTACTTTGCCTTCTTTACTCGAAGTGCCTTTCGGTTTTGTAATTTATGATACATTATAACAATCAATATTTTTTTCTTATTCGGTACAAAAAAAAAAAATTGAATGATATATAACAACTTATATGATTATATTATACAACTTATATATGATATTTAGCACCCTTAACCACAAAGATGGGTTCTGGCATATGCAATTTTCTAAAGAGCTTTTAGTATAAATATTTTAACAAATACTATTCTAAACTTTCTAGTTCAAATGATCATCCTTCATAGAATCATAGAATTTACCTCATTACCGATGTGGCAAATTGTTTCCTACGTACCATTACTCCACATTAACTGTTAATTTTATTTTGGAGTAGTTGAATTCTTATCTCTAGAACTCCTTTTGTTAATTTAAGCATGCTTTGAATTTATGTTTCAACAGGTATTGAAAATTTACAGAATTTTAGTTCTTCTTGAGTTTAATTTATGATGTTTTCAGATCACCAACTTGTCCGCATTGTCGCATACCTTCAAGTCCCGACCATATTATAAAGCTATATTTTGACTTGGCCGAAGATAGCCAGGTCTCAGAGTTAGAAACTCTGAGGAATGAAGTTCAGCGGTTAAAAGCAGTCTCAGAACGAACAGACAGTGACCTTAAGTCCAAATCTGATGAATGCAAAAATTTAAGCAAACAGTTAGTTCTTACTCAAAAGAACAATGAAACGTTGAGGTAAAATTATAACTATTATTTTCATTTTCATATGAATTAGCATACAAATAGTCTTGTTTATCTATTTATTTGTTTTAATTATTGTTTTTATATTGATCATTCAAGTTTTATTCTCTTTGCTTTGATTTTATTATAATATTGTGATTATTGTGCTTAATAAAAATTATTAGTTTGTCTATATTTTCTATTTGCTAAGTATGATATTTACATTAACATTATTTTTTTACTTATCATAACTATGTACTTCATTCTATATTATCTATATTCTGTAAATTGTCTGTACTTCAGTCAATATTCTAAAAACATAATAATCAGGATTTTGAAAGGAAGAAAATTGTAATTTACAATTATAATTATTATTACATGATACATATTGTACAACAAACTTATTGTTAATAAAGAAAAGTAATTTTAACCGGTCTACATTTCTCAAGTAATGGTATATTTCAATGAATCAAGATTGTTGTCAATGGATATTGAAGAATTTACCTAGAATTTTTTTTTAAACATTTGAAACAATATGTCATTGCTTGTTGAGCAGTCTGCACAGAAGAATAAACTACACTGTCTTTAAATTTTCAAAATAATCATTTGTTCTTGGCTTAGTTGCCTAGAATACTATGTTTTCACTATTTTTGTTTAAAAAAATAAACAAGTAATAACAATGTAATAAATTAAAGGGGAAAATGTGCAATATATTTTTCCAGTTGTGTTAATTTGGTGTTTTAGTGACCCTGGTGTGTTTTGTTTGTGGAACTTTCAATCGTGAAACATTTTATTATTGATCATGTCTTATTTTTCTAAAAAAATAATTATTGCCCAATTTGACTTGATATAAGTGATTTTAATAAGTAATATTTGACAATGGAGAAGGCATAAAAAAGACAACTGCAATCATAATGACCTGATAAATGGCTGCAGGTCAGGATCCTCTACAGGTGGCTTGGGTGCCTCATTAAGTTCTACCTTTCTGGAATGCCGATTATATATGATCTTACCAAATGGAAAAAAGTTTCTATATTACTGGGATCACCTCTGTGCCTGCAACTGCAATTCTGGATTATGAGGTAAGTTTAATTGTCAGTGTTTTGATTCTTAACTCGACTTGGATAAATGTCTACTTGGCTGTTTGAAGTTTGAACTGGCGTTTTGCTGAAACCAAATTATGAAAACCATACAGTTAACTGTGTGTCTTGAGGTTATGAACAACCAGGATAACCCATATGTACCTGATCAGGGAACAATCGACCTGGAAAAATGGGAAAAGTCAGGGAATTTTTTTAGTATGTAAATATTTTTTTTTCAAATTGGAAATAAATAGACAGTGGATATCATTTATAATGACCTTGAAGGGGTAAACTTCTTCATTATAAATGACCACAGTAGCTATATTTATCCATCTTTGACTATCAATAACGGTACTGGTCGTTATATTGAAATCAAACAAGGGAAATAAATAAAAATTAAGCAAAATGGAATTAAAACTGTGATTTTTTGAAGAGAAAACCATACCAATACTATTTACTGTTTGTGGTATTTACGTCTGAACCAAAATCATTCGGCCAACCCGTGGTGCTCCTTAAAAGCACATTTATTGACCAGAAATGTTACTATCATATCGTCGCCACCATGTTAAAGTAACAATTGTGAGCCTATTTAATGTTATACATTCGTTACTTTAACATGTCACCGACGGTAAAGATAATTATTATGCTGTTTATAGTAATAAAAAATTAATTAGTTATGAGAAACTAAATTAATATTAGAATTCCACTTAACTCACTTTATTTTATATTAGAGAAAATCAGAGCTGAAAATAAAATAAATTACTAAAAGTTTAGTTTTCTAAAATAAAAAATGCTTCCTCTAAAACATTGTATTTGTTGTTTAAAACAATGATTTGATTTTATTTTTACTCAAGTCATTTTGTAGTCAATTTTCTTTCATGTACAATGAATATATTTAGTTATAAATCATTCATTTTTAATATTTGTGTCCCGAGACATATTGGCCAGGAATAACAATCATTAAATAGGAATATGTCAGAGAATTTTACTTCAACTTTCTGGTAGCCACCCTGCTAATTTAATAAACATTAATTGTTTATACATCAACCTTATTTTTTTAAGTTAAAGTCAATCTGATAGGGTGTTTTTTCTCCTGGCTTTAGGATTTTTCCTATTAAAACACCGTAAAATGTTAACATTTAAGGGATCATATATAAAAATCAAACTTTCAGTCTTCAAATTTTTAGATATTCTCATTATATAATTGTAGATTTTCCGTTATGATTTAATAATGGTTACTTATAAGTTTAAAGAATCAGAAGCTTATTTTTCAATATTACAGTGGGATCCTTCTGGTAATGTTCTTGTACTGAAGATATGAGGGAAGGAGATGAAATGATAGAAAAACAAGTTTATTGAATTGAAATCTCAAAACCTGATGGGAATATTAAATTAGCATAAATATATACATTAGTGTAGCTACATTAATCACATGTTGGTTATTGTATTTATTAGAGCTAGTGGGAGGATACAGCAGGCATATATATGCGGATTGGAATCCTGAAAAGTATTTGTAAAAAAGTTTAAAAAACGTATAGTTTCTCCTATAAACACATCTTTTAAGTAATATTTTAAATGCTCTAAATGCTTGGGGTATTCCTGTGTTACTGTACATGTTTAGTAACCAATGAACTGACAATAAATTGGTGTAATAAGCAGGTATATTGCTGAATGCTGACCTTGTTATGAATCAATTGAGTCCATTCAGTATATAATAATTTGGCAAAAGTAATTCACCAAAGTCTGTCCAAATATTATAAATTTACTGAGGGATCAAAACCTTACTATGGTTTTACCCCAGAGTCTATCCTTTCTGATAAAGCAACAACCATCTACTGGGATTAGCCTATAATCAAGGACCATACAGTGCCAAGCAATAAACCAGATATTCTGGTTGTATGAAAAAGGAAAAAAATTCTCTGTGAGGAACTGAAACAACTCTACAGCGTAAAAAATAACAAACGTGTTCCCTTCATTATCTCGAACAAATGACTGGTTCCAAAGAAAACTGTTAAAATTTGGGTAATTGAAACTGATTATATCCTAAAAGGACAAACAGCTGTGCTATTTGGGACAGCCAGCGAGTGATGGGCATATTTATATTCAAAAATATAAATACGAATACCATTTATATTTATGGTAGTAATGAATATATTTATATTCATAAAAAGAAATATGAATACAGAAGATACGTACTCATGGCTGTAAATATAAATGCGGCCGAATGCATGAATGCGTGAATGCTGTATTCACGATTGTTAAACTGAATACGGCTGTATTCGCGTTTATTAAAATGAATATGCTTAAATTTACAGAAGTGAATGCAAATATTTTCACACAATCTTATTCATGAATACTCTTATTTAATTAAAAAACTACATTTTTTAAATTATTTATTTTTTAAAAAATTTACTATATATACCATTTTATTTTTATATATAGTATTATTTTCTTCGAGCATCGCCTCCCTCCCTCGCACCAATAAAAATTCTGAGGTGAGAATATTGGAATTTCTTAAAAAAACTTGAAAATCAAATCCTTATCGTCCACATTACAAGAGCCTGCTAAACAGACTCTGTTTCACTATCGACTTCATACATTGTTCAATATGCAAAACTTAACACATTAACAAATATATTCACACATTACACACTGAACGGCTGGTCCGGAAAGGTCAATATTCAAATTTGACAGCTCTTGCCGCTTTCCTTGGTTCAGCTTAAGTCTGTTGTGTACATGTATTCCTTGGTGGAATTTCCAGAGTATCGTTCCGAGTGTTGTACCTACCCTGGCCGTCCATTAAACTTATCTTTACTGTTATTAGCAGCCCATAAGTAAACAGTGCACCGAAAAGTCTGTGCGTCTAGGATCATAGACCTAGACTTTCCATTCTGGTATGGGAGAGGGTTGAGTGATGGATCCAAAAAAAAAGTGCTTGAAAATTTACATTATGTACAAACATTCACAGTGATAATTAACATAACATATCGTAAAACAAAGAATATAATAATATAAATAAAAATAAAATAGTATATATGTATGTTTTTATATAAATAATATTATAAATATATATTTTTTAATAAATAAGATTGTCTTAAATTATCTGCATTCTCTTCTGTAAATTTAATTGTATTCATTTTAATAAACGTCAATACTGTTGTATTAACTTTTACGAGTGTAAATACAAAGGCTCGGGAATTTATATTACGCACTAACATTACGAGTGTTAATTAACATAACATATTGTAAAAGAAATAACGTATTACGTATTACTATATATAAAAATAAAATGATATATATAGTAAATATATTTTTTTAAATAAATATTTAAAAAAATATAGTTTTATTATTAAATAAGAGTAATCATTAATAAGATTGTGTAAAAATCTTTGCATTCGCTTCTGTAAATTTAAGCGTATTCATTTTAATAAACTCGAATACTGTCGTATTCACTTTTACTAGTGTAAATACTAAAGCTCGGGAATTTATATTACATACAAACATTACGAGTGATAAAGAAAGGAGATGGTTCGGGGTGGCGGTAATAAAAAGGCTAAATAGTGGCAAAACTACGAGTGATAATTAACATAACATAATACATTGTAACATAATTAACATAACATATTGTAAAAGGAATAATATATTACTATATATAAAAATAAAATGATATATATAGTAAATATATTTTTTAAATAAATAATTTAATAAATAAGAGTATTCATTAATAATGTTGTGTGAAAATATTTCCATTCACTTCTGTAAATTTAAGCATATTCATTTTAGTAAACGTGAATACTGCCGTATTCACTTTTACAGGTGTAAATAAGCCGTATTCACTTTTACAATCGTGAATATGGCCATATTTATATTTACAGCCGTGAATATGCACTTTCTATATTCACATTTCTTTTTATGAATATAAATATATTCATATTTATATTCATTAGTTCCATAAATATAAATGGTATTCATATTTATATTTTTGAATATAAATATGCCCATCTCTGCAGCCAGCATAGTCAGAAAATTTTTAAACATTTCATAAACAGAGCCTAACTCTTTGACCCATTGAATCTGGATAGGTTTATTCCCTGCAATGACTAAGGAAGATATCTTTGCTTAGATTTACCCATTTGGCATATACAAGTCTGCACAATGCTTTTTAACCTTTTAGGGATTATTTTGTTACTAAGACCATCAATTTTATAATCTCATTTTCATACCTCAATTATATTTACCCGATACAGTTCGTGCTATTTAGTGTTGTGTAATTCTCTAAATCTCTGGGTGACTATAATATGATATTATATTATAGGATGACTATAACTTTTTCAGTTGTAATATTTAAGTTTTAGAACAGTAGGTAAGAGCTAAATAGCTTTGCAACATAAAAATAACAGGCGTTTTCTGCCTTCAACTTAACCTTGATTTTCTCTTGAATTTGTTTTTTTTCTAGTTATTGTATGCCCTAAATACCCAAACTTGTCTATATATTCAAACATAATTCTTTCTATGTCTATGTCACCAAAATCGCTGCAGTTTTTGTAGCTAACCTTGTAGTTTATTTTTTCCATATTCATTTGGATTCCTAATTCTTACTGGATTTCATCAGTTTTGTATTTAGTTTTATAGTTTATGTATCTTCGCTGAGTAGTACCAAATTATCAGCATATTCAAGCAAAAATATTGTTCCTTCCCTAATATTTTCAGTACGTTTAACACTTCTCTAATGGAATGTTAAAAAAAAAAAAAAAAAAAAAAAAAAACCTGTACCACTACAACCAATGAAAGGTCTTGGGTTCAGATCACGCTCAACCGCCAGGTTTTCCCCCTTAATCAATTATTTAATTAAGGGTACCCACTTTATAGAGGCTGGGTGTGCCCCAGGAGGGTCTCACGACCCAGGTTCGCCCCACGGCCAATGAAAAAGATGAATAAATTTTCTGCCATGAGCCGTGGTTCGAACCTGGGACCTTTAGCATTGGAAGCTCAGTACCCTACCACTGAGCAACCCCACTCCCTATGGTATGTTAAAATGCTAAATTAAATAGAGCATGTGAAAGGGAATCACCTTGTTTTAAGTTCAAACGAACGTCAATTTTTTTTGATAAATAATTATAAATTCTAATTATATTGAATGTTTTATTCGTGTATATCCTTACTAGATTTACTAACTTTGTGTCCCCTGCTCAACCAGAATATTTTATAGCTTCTGTCGGTCAATGGAATCATAAACCTTTTTGAAATTGATGTGAAGCTGATAAACAACTCCACAGTATTCTAATTTTTCTAAAATATTTGCTGTAAAACAAATTATTTGATCAATTGTTGTACGGTTCTGTCTAATACCACATTGGTAATTTCCTCTGTGTTCAGTGATTCGGATTAATTTTATAATATACTGGAAAGAGTGAGATTCCTGGCTAATTAATAAACTTTATCCTCAACCACTTTTTATAAATCAGTATAAGTATATATTCTTTCCATTCTACAGAAATTTTCCTAATTCTTTTATTACCAAAAGATGTATTTTGTAGAAACTCCAGCTTCCCCGCTTGCCTTAATTAGTTTATTAGGAATATTATCCGTTCCTGCTGTTTTATAAGATTTTAATTTTCCAGTATTTATTTGAACTTCCTCTTTAGTTTGTTTTTTTATTAAGAGTTCAGCATTATGGTATTCAGAAGGAGGGGATAGACTATGTCTGGTATTCTAAATACTGTCACAATATTTTTGAAACCTAATTAATACTTTTACCAGGTCAGCCAGGATTTTTTTATTTTTTTTCTTTATTCCTGTTGTTATGAATCTTAAACATGTACATGATCTGTTTACAACTTTTTACACCTCTCTTACATTATTTTTGTCTAATAGTTTCTATTCCTTTTTGATTATTTTTAAAATACTCTTTTTTTTATTTTTGAGAAATTTGGTTGTTTCATCATTAAGACTCAGAATTAATCAAAACTGTTTTCATTAGGATTATTTAGAGCTTTTAATTTAGCTTTTTTTTTCCACATATTTAAATAATCTTCATTGAAAGTTTTTTTCTACTTTGTTCTTTTTAGTTTCCTCTTTTCCAAGACACAAATTACCGACCTGATCCATACCCGTAACTTGTCTATATCATCACTACCCTTGTCAGAAGGTTATAAAGCTTCAAACCTATTCTTAACTATCTGGACTTAATTTCTCAATTCTTAACTAGCTCAAATTGATTCTATACTTTTTTGCCACCTATGTTGTACCGTGACATGATCAATTTGATTTCAGGTTTGACAATCCTGTAATGTTCATGTATACTTATGAATATCATTATTATCTTTAAGCCTAGTACTTTGGCAAAGTTTATTAATTGGATTCCATTATCATTACTGAGTTCATGCAAACTTTCTTTACTGATTGTCAAATAATATACTTCTTCTTTTCCCACTTTTGCTTCTCCTAAAATTATTTTCATACAGTTTTGTAGTTGTTAATACTAAACTATACTATATAGTATATACTAAATCCACTACTGTTTTTCATAAAATTCAGAGTTGTTCTAGAGGTACAACAAAACCTATTATAATAGACTAGGAGCTGCCAACCATTTCATTTAATGGAAGGACTTAAAGCTAGAAACTATTTTAAATTCTAGATAAACCTCATCTGATCTCAGCTGTGTTTTGAAAACTGACTGTCCCTATAATGAAAAGTCTATTGAAAACAATAGAGAGTTTTATAATGCAAATTGTTTCTTACTTATTATATGTTGGGATAGTGCCTATATTGAAGGTAATGCGGTTGTTATCTGTCTGACTTAATTAAATAATTAATTAAGGGGGGAAACTGGTGGTTGAGCGTGATCTTGGTCAAATCACCTCCTTGCACTGCCGTTGACCTAGGACCAGTGCTTTCCCTAAATAGTACTGAACCCAAGACCCTTTATGGGTTGTAGTGGTAGAGGTTTTAAAAAGTACGCTTCCGATGACATAATAATTATTAAAAAATGTGAAAAGATGAAATTAAGCGATACACAAGAGAGTATTCATGAAATCAATAGTTTTTTTCAAAAAGGGTGGCCCCAATAAAATAATAACAAATCCCCTAATCGAAGAAATCTGAAAAGTTGAAATTAAAAAAAAATTAATTGATACGCGAGAGAGTATTCTCAAAATCGATAGTGAATTCAAAAAGTATGCCCCTATAACATAAAAACACACCCCTAAATCGAAGAAATCCGAAAAGTTGAAATTAATGAATTGGTGAAAAAGTAATTTTAATTGTTCTAGATTACCACAGCATGATGGACCAGAATATAGAAAAAAAATTTAACAAAAAGAATATTTTATATTTTATTAATGATGGCGTGGTTGATTTTATAGTACATGAGATAATTTTATTTATACCAAGTATTTTCTTCTAAATAAAAGTATTTATTAAATAACAAATACAAATAACTTGATTTAAATAGATTTATTTAGTGGTCTTCAGTATTTAAATAACTTTCCAGCTCTGGTATTCACTGTCTGTTTCTTTTACTTTATATTCTTTTCAGTTTATTTTTTAGTTATTTATATTTTCTTTGTTTTTAGAAAGGAAGCAAAAGTTTTACATGGTAGAATCGAAAAACTAAAAGTTACTAAGTTAGAACATGGACGACAAAAAGCTGAACTGAAATCAGCATTAGCAGCCTTAGAAAAAGAAAAGTCGAAAGCTTTTCAGCTATCCAGAGATATAAAAAAATTCCAAAAGTAAGGAAATGTTTTATTACTTATTTTATGGTTATTTGTTTATTATTATATACAATTTTCTTGTATTGTATCTATGGATGCTAATTAACTTTTATATTCAAGTCTCCTATAGTTATAATAAATATTATCAACGCTTTATATTGCAAGACTAAAAAAAAAAAAAAAATTCCTCCATACAATCTAACCATAAAGCAGGAGTCTCCTAACTGCGGCTTGTGAGCACCTCCAACCCCTCTACGAGTTTCTGTGATTACATGGTAAAATAAAAAAAATGAAATTTAATAAATCACACAATGTTTCTACAACTTTTATTACATGATTAGTTTCTCTTAAGAAACCCATTTCAGAACTGACTTTTTTTTTGTCATCACAAGCCATGGCCTATGGGATTTGGTGGAGGTCTCAGTGTGACTTGTGGGACTTAGTGCAGATTTCAATGTGGCCCACAGGTAAAAAAAATTGAAGACAGTTGTTTTAGAGGAAAACAAGCTAAGGTGATTTAGACCCCTCCTCTAGATTAATAAGACCAGGAAAACTTGAGATACTGACCTCCAAGGTAAGAAGGAAACCGATAGGAAAAACCCTTATCATCTAGGACATTGTCTGGATGGTATTCAGAAAGTGAGAAAGAGAGCAGAAGAGAGTTGGTGGAGGATCAATAAACCTGATCCAGGTTCTATAGGTGGCATCTTTGTACTTTACAGCGGTATAGAGGAGAAGAAAATTATGGTGATGGTAATTTTTCGTGTTTTCATTAACAGCTATTGTCCTTCATCCACATAGTAGAGTAGTGTATTGCTCAAGAAGAAACCTGTAAGGAATGATGTGGTTGAAGTTAATTGGAAAATCACAATCAGATAAAGAAGCTGATTAGTGAAGCTGAGCTATTGGACTAGTCAAGCTATCTAAAAAAAGTGGGAATCAATTAAATTCATACTATAAAAAAATACATTTTAAAAGGTAACCAGCCTATGCCTCCACTATAGAAAGAATCTTTATTGATTCATATTCAATAAAATTGTAATAACTATTGGGAAATTCACTCCTGACAAGATGTTCTAAAGTATTTATGTTTATTCAAATTTTTTATGTCATGGGATAAGACAAAAAAATGTTGAGATTCTATCAATGTATGGATGCAGGTTAAACAAATCTGTTGTTGATAGAACTTTTTTTACAGCAAACATTAATGATAATATTTATAATGATTAATGATAAATGATAAAAGTGTAATTCTCTGGATTTATGATAGTTTTAAAACAGGCTTACCATTTTCTTTTTTTTTTAAGCTTTGATTGAGGATTCATCATCAATCTCAGTCTCATTCAGTTAATGGTAAAATCTTCCATGAAGTCCTTACTTCTGCCAATCCAATATTATAATGATTATCATTCCTCCTTTCTTGCAGTTTATGATTTTTAAGATTAAGTGAAGTTTAATCTTCATTCATCTCTTTTATCATAGAGGAATTCTAGAACTTACCATAAAACGCTCCTTTAGGGAATCTTCTTGAATTGTGATAAGCTAGAATAACTCTAACTGATCGCTCAATTTATTGTTTTTACATTGACATCCAAAAAATATTTCAGTATTCAGATGAAATATCTATTTTTTCAGAATATATATTTGACCCAAGATTTTATTCCCTGATGACATCTTCGTTCATTTTCAGAATAGAATATAAAAATATCTTTATTCTGTTGTGACAAAGTCGCTTAAGAATAACAAAGTAGTACAGGAAAAAAAGGACTATTGCTGTTCAAAAGATCTGTTACATCAAATAAAAAAATTAAACTAGTATACAAAGTGCTTTTTGCATTGGAGGAGATTGTAGGCACAAGTAGGGCAATAGTTGTTGAAAACGAATGAATGACGAAACAATGTATTCTCTGCTAAGTAGAAAAAAGGGAGGTTTAGGGTAAAAGATAAAATTTCTGTAATAGAAATGAAAAAATCTCAAAAAATATATCCATTATTTAAAACATACACACGCACATGTAATATTTAATAATTATAAAGTAATATTTAATAAAGGGAAATATTTAATGGGATGATTTTAGGTTGGCGTAGGGAGGTGGCGGCCCGATCGCCCGTTCATAGTACCGCAGATAGCCACTGGCCCTCTAGGTTGGGGGAACAGTACACTGACGCTTACACATATATACTCTATACAGCACACTACCACACACTCACTCACATCATAATCGAAGGTCATAAACAGTACACACCCTAGGGTCACCTTTCCTAGTTAGCCGCGCCCGAATGGGGAAGTGTGGCATGGCACTTAGAGCAGGCAGCCCACCTGACTCGGGGGCTATGGGCTGATATCCTATTCCCCTTAAATTATTTTATCTACAAAGCTCATACAGGATTAGCCGGACTGATATACGGAAAACAAATCAGGAAATGTCAATTGGAATATACGATCGCATCATGGAATATTTTGACACTATATAAACCTGGAGCACTGCAAGTGCTTCTAAATACCCTTGAAAACTATAAAATAGACATAGCTGCCATCCAGGAAATCAGGTGGACCGGACAGGGCAGCCTAAAGAAAGGAAACCACACTGTATACTTTAGCTGTGATGACCGCCTCCACACATTCGGGGCTGGTTTTGTTGTTAACAAAAGACTATCTCAGAATGTGATTGATTTTAAACCGATTAGTCCTAGACTGTGCATGCTCCAACTTAAGGGGAAATTCTATAATATTAGCCTAATATGTGTCCATGCACCTACAGAAGTGTCAGAAGAGGACGTGTAAGATGCCTTCTATGAAGAGCTTGAAAGGTGTGTCGAAAGCAGTCCCAAATACGACATGAAGATTGTGCTAGGTGATTATAATGCACAAATAGGCAAAGAACCTACATATCAACCAACAATAGGTCTCCATAGCCTACATGATATTTCCAATGATAATGGGAAGAGACTCATAAACTTTGCAGTCTCAAAAGGTCTTTGCATTGGCAGCACATGTTTCCCTCACAAGAAAATACATCTGGTTACTAATGAAAATATGGAGCTAATTGTAGAATCTCAACTTCACAAATTGATCATGTGCTCATTAGTACCAGGCATAGGTCTTCGCTAATGGATGTGAGATCCTACAGAGGAGCGAATGTGGACTCAGACCACTATCTCTTAACCTCTAAAGTTCGAGTACGGATTTCAAGGACAAGAAGACAGAACGGTGCTCCTGTATTACGGTTTGACACATCCAAGCTCGATACTTCGAGTAAATTTGATACATTTACTCATTACATCTTATTTTAATAATTTACATAATTTTAACTTTTTATGTCTTTTCTATGTAATCAGTATGTTTTGATAGATTTTACAGTATCTAAATTTTTCAATTTAAATCTATTATTTTCTTTATATAACTTCATATTCCTTTTCTCTGTTTTACAAATATTACTGTTATCAATTTTTTTTTTCATATGTTTGTAACATTATTATTATTATTTTTTATAAGTCAGTAGTTTCTTATATAGTTATCTGATCTTTCCTAAGCCCTGAAAACTTTGGGCCGAAACTTCGGCAAATATAAAAATAATTTTTTTTTTTTTCGTTTGGCTCTACAGACCTAATAGATTTTTGGCTGCCTGAACCAGCCTTCTCCACTTTTGGCTATCTTGGACTACTGCTTTCCAGTTTGTGGCATGAGCTCAGCAGTATCTTTGTTTATCCTATTTATCCATCTCATTTTTGGATAGATTATTAAAGATAAGAAACTACTGACTTATATATAAAAAAAAAAAATAATAATAATGTTACAAACATATGAAGAAAAAAATTGATAACAGTAATATTTGTAAAACAGAGAAAAGGAATATGAAGTTATACAAAGAAAATAATAGATTTAAATTGAAAAATTTAGATACTGTAAAATCTATCAAAACATACTGATTACATAGAAAAGAAATAAAAAGTTAAAATTATGTAAATTATTAAAATAAGATGTAATGAGTAAATGTATCAATATACACAAAATAGACACAGGGATATGGAACAGAAAGTAAAAAATGAGAATACTGAGATAAAAGAAGTAGACCAACCTGGACTCAAGAGAGGTTCCCAGAAGTCAAGATTATTTGGACAGGAAGCAGTGGAATTTACGTAGCACCCTCTTTAACGGTTAACAAAAATCTGTGAGCTAAAGCACAGAAACATATATAATATATATATTTTTTATTATATTATATTTTTTACTTTCACTTCCTTTTGTCTGGAAATACCTATTTTCGCTATTAAAAAAGGGGGAGGAGGATAGGTGAAAGTTGTGTGATGCGCTCGCCACATCAGCTTTTTGAAATAGTGTAGTTTAGCCATATAAATGTTCTAACAATCGCAAACTTTATTTGCATTTGAAGGAAATTTTGTCTAGTTTACTATGACGCAATTGTTATTGACCTACATTAAATATTTTGTTAATTATCACTTTCCATTCAACAAAAACTGTGGCTCAATTAATGTATCTTTAAATACTTCCCTTTCTTACAAAACACTCTGCATATGAATTAACTTACTTGGATTTTTTTTTTATTACTATATGGTTTTATATATATTCTGCTGAAAAATGAATTGGGATATTGTTAGTTATATATGTTTTATTTCCCCTCGATTTTTTTCTTTTTTTTTATCATAAAATACATTTAAAATTAATATAAATAAGATTGTACTTGACCTCTGGAAATTTTATAAAAGATAGGTAAAAAAACAATAAAAGTCAAGTTTTTTGTGATTTTGTTTTCATTATTGTGAATTTTAAACATTTTATAAAATTTAAAGATTTGTGTTATATCCTCTGTTACTACCTTCCTGCACCTATTGGGCAAACTGTTAATAATTTCGCTAATTTCACAAGGAATTTCATCTCATAAACATGGTAATATTGCTCTCAGTTTCTGAAGGTTAAGAAGCTGCAGATGGTGGTCAAAAAGCCTTCTCTGCACTGCATCCCACATGTGCTCAATGGATTTGAGATCTGAAGACAA